AAGAGAAGTTGTCTCACAGGCAGCTGAAGGGTAGAAGGAGGCCTGAAACTGAGGAGGATGCGAGTTTGAGAGAGACATTTGGAAAGGGAAGAGAAAAGGTCCAAGTGCAGCACTGTGGGGAATTGCAAGGCTTTAATTGTTAGGAAAGGAAAGGCAGCTGGTAAAACAACTGAGAAAGAAAACTCAGGGACATGAGGAGAGAACCAGTAAAGAAAGGTTTTACAGAGAGCAACAGGGGAGATTTTCAGGAAAAATGAAGTGGAGCTGGGCCCATAGCACAGTTGTTAAGGGAGTTGGATCCCACATGGTTGCCTGAATCCTGGCCCTCGTAGTTTGAAAAACATGCTGGGCATGTGTATGTGCCCCATCCAGGTGAGATGAAGATATGAGAAGGATTTGCAGTATGACCACATCCCATTGGGAGGTGCGTTCTCTCTCTCTCTCTCTCTCTCTCTCGATGACATATTCTTTGGCAATAAAATTGAAGCAAAGGAAAAGGAAATGATCAACAAGATCAATTAGCTCAAAAGGGTAAAGTCTAGTGGTGTCTGAACTGACTGTGAAGTTTTCTAGTGGAATTTCAATGAAGTTGATGAGTGTGGAGGACTATTGGAAGGGGCAGATTCTTTTCCTCCAGTCTGAGGAGTGAGTGGGAGGTAGGGGAGAGAAACATTAACTGGAGAGTCATGGAGGCCTGAGGACTTTAAGAAAGGAGACCTTAGACTTATTTACATGCAGACAAGTAGCCAAAATAATTGGACAGTTAAAAGCATAGGAAATTGAGGACAGCTTAATGATGTAAACTCCCTGAGGATACGGAAAAGGATGAGATCAAAAGAATATGGAAAGGTACCATTTGATCCAGCAATCCCACTTTTGGGTATTTACCCAAAAGACAGGAGAATGCTCAGTCAGAAAAGTGCTTGCATCCATGTTTATTACAGCATTATTCACAATAGCCAAGACATGGAACCAACCTAAATGTCCACAAACTGGTGAATGGATTGGAAAAGTGTGGTATATATACTCTATGGAAGACTACTCAGCCTGGCATTTGATAGAAAGTGGTCAGATATGGAAGATCTATTGCTGAGTGAAGTAAGCCAGGCTATGAAAGAAAGATATTATATGTATCCACTCAATATATACTGACTATTTGCACTCTATGGTAGAAAGCGAAAAATGGGAGGACATAAAAGCGGTGAAAGTACTTCATGAGAATAGGAAAGTGTGGAATGGGGGTGGTGAAGAGAAGAGGATAGAGAAAGATAGCAAGAGAACGGTAGAGAGGCAGGACGTTAGTGAGAAGCAGATAGGGCTTATTACCTGTTGATGATGACATGTATAGTATTCTCAACTGGACTGGTCTGAGAAGTATTTCATGATGGGTTCAGTCTTTTTAAAAGCAAAATGAGAACTAGTGATTGACTGTTTTAAAAAAATAATTAGAATAATAATAATAATGATTGGGAAAAACATAGAAAAGATATTGAATGATGAAGTGGGGAGATTAATGTCTCTGTATTGACTGACATGCATAGCATTCCCTTTTGAAAAAGCAATGTAATATACTGTAAAGTTATATGTAATCCAAAAAAAAAAGTTATATGGAATCCAATGTAATATAAAGAATATTATGATGATAATAAAAATAAAAAAATTAAAAAAAAAGAATAGGGAAAGGGAGGGTATGAAGAAACTAGAACCTTTGTACACTGCAGGTGGGGATATGAAGTGGTACAGCCACTGTGAAAACAGTTTATCATTTCTTCAAAAAGTTAACCATAGAACTACCATGGGACCGGGCAATTCCACCCAAAGGAATAGAAAAGAGGGATTCAGATACTTTGTACTTGTGTAATAGTCATTGCAGTATTATTCACAATAGCTAAGGGTGGAAACAACCCAAATGTCCATGAATAGGTGAATGGATAAACAAAATGTGGTAAATACCTCCAATGGCATATTTAGGGAATGAAGTTCTGATATGTACTACCACATAATGAACCTTAAAACAGAAGTTGGTGCATGGCTTTACCATATGATCCTAAAGAAAAAGCACAATCAAAGCAATGACTACCAGGTGGAAATGGCCCTGTCAGAGCAGAAGTGTACCATCAAGAGCAAAAGTCATGGCAACAGTGTTTTGAGCTGCTTGCTGCATTTTGCTTGTTGTCTTTCTAAAGGAGCAAGGAATAATAATATTTTCTTATCACAAGAGTATTTTTAAACAGCCAAAGCTTTAACATAAAAATGTCCAAGAAATCTTTACCAGGGAATCCTGTCCACCACGACAGTGCTCCTTCTCATTTTGCTCATCCAACAAGGACAATTTTGTAAGAGTTTGAATGGGAAATCATTAGCCACCCACTTTACATCCTGATTTGGCTCCTCTGACCTCTATTTGATCCCTAAAATCTTTATAAAAGATACCCATTGTCCTTCAGTTAATAATGTGAAAAAGACTGCATTTACATGGTTAAATTCCTAGGATCCTCAGTTCTTTAGGGATAGACTAAATGGCTGGAATTATTGTTTACAAAGTGTCTTGCTTTTGATGAAGGTTATATGGAGAAATAAAGTTTATATTTTTTATTTTTATCCTTTAATTCCATTTTTTCTTGAACTTTGTGAAGATCACTCATACTCCTGTTCTCAAGGACATTAAGGGAATTCCTGACAAGCTCTGTTTCTTTTGCTAAGCAAGAGGCAAGCTCCTCTATTTGGAGTAGACGGGGTAGGTAAGGGTTTAGTAAGGAACTCCAGGATATCAGTGAAGGTGAAAAATGGCCACCAAGGGAGATAGGAAAGGGAGAGGACCAAGGATGAAAAAAAAAAAAAAAATCAAACTACTGAGACAGTCCACTGATCCAGCTGCAGGTGAGATTGGTGCACTGCCACGGTACAGTGTTTTGACGTTAGAATTTCTTGATTTTTTTTTTTTCCCTCCAGCCACACCAAGTATAGGAGTTAGGTAAGCTGGGTTGCCAGATTCCTTCTAGATGTGCTATCTGTTTGATGGACACAGTAGAAAGCTAATAGCCTAAGAAAGTTATTTTAAAACCGTGGGGTTCATTCAAACTTTACACAATAGTCTGAAGAGGTCATATCCCTGAATAAAGAGGTAGCATGGTGGTTAATGGCGCTGAACTCCCACATGGCTGACCACAGTACTAGTCCTTGACCTGGTGGCTTGCTTTCTCACTTTCTCTCTCTCATCAAACTGGAAAGTCATAATAATAATTTTTAAAAAAAGTTAAATAATTCTTTTAAAAAAAAAGAGGTATTGAAGTGAAAAAGTGAACTTAATGGGAATTAGGAGTGAGACACGAGGATATTGGACTCTGTTGTGGAGGTAGGACTCTTCTGGTTGGCATTTAGAGGAATGTGGTTCTAAGAGTGAAGGTGAAATTGTAGAAATGATTGGTGTATTAAAGCAGACTAACTGATGTCACAAATAGATGGAAATGTTTATAATTGCTTATGTACAGTAGAAGTGTGTTTTTGCATATGTAACTATTCCAAGGTAGTTGGTAGAGTTGTTCTGCTTGTGGATCTGTTATCTTTACATGGCAGCTTTCAAGGTCATCTGGACACTGATATCCAGTTGGTAGAAGGAAAAAGAGCAAGGACAAGCCCATGCAGGTGGTCTTATGGGCCAAGACTGAGGGAAGCGTGCATTATCCCTTCACGTTTCATTGGCTAGAACTTAGTCGCATGGTCACACCAAGTTTCAAGGAAGTCTGGGAAATGTACAGTTGTATGTCCTAGGAAAAAAGCACTAATAGCTCCTACACAGAGGCTTTAGAGCCATTTGCTGTTCTGATGCTGCTACTTACTCTAGTTGTGAAGTCCAGAGATAAACTTCAAAAAGATTAACATTAAAAGAACAACTGGGAGTCTAAAGGGCATAGTGGTTAAGGTGCTGGATCCCCACATGATTGACTGCGGTTTGAGTTCTGGATCCAGCAGCTTGAAAATCAAAACCCCAAGGACCAGCGGTTGCCATAATGGCTATGTTGCTGGACTCCCATGTAGTTGACCACAGTTCGAGTCCCGGACCTGGTGGCTTAAACTCACGCCGGGCATGTGTGTGTGTGTGTGTGTGTGTGTGTGTGTGCCCAAGATCCCAAGAGGAGAATGGAGGAGAAGGGATTGCAGCGTGGCGCCATCCCGCCTGGGGGTCATTTCTCGCTTTCTGTCTCTGTCTTTCTGGCAAGCACACGCGCCCTATATCAAAAACCTCTCAAAAAAAAAAAGTAAAAATCACAACCCCAGGCACATGTGTGCATGCTCAAAATCCTAAGAGGAGAATGGAGAAGGTATTGCAGTAATGACTATTCTACCTGGGGGGTGATTTCTCCCTCTCCCTCTCACTGTCTGTCCCTCTCTCGTGAGTGCATGTGCCCTATGACAAAAATGTAAAAAAGAAGACAAAAGGCCCACTCAAGAAGGCTTATCTGTCAATACATGAAGCATTTTTACTTCTATTTCTATTTCCTAAATCTATCTTTAAAAAAACTCCTTGATCTCAGTAACCTAGTTTCCTCATTTGATGAAATGAATTTTAATCATTTTCCTTCACCAGAAATGTGTACTAATTTTTTTTTTTGCAAACAGTTCCTTTATTGCTTACCTCATACTAGCAGCAAATATTAAATATCACAGAGAGGTATCCATGAAGTCACAAAAAACATTAGCCCTCAATGTGAGCCAAAATGGATTTTTGGGGTCTAATTTAAGTGCAAGACTCATTTGTCTTGTGACTGTTATTTAACAAACAAGGTAAAGACTTTCAAGCCACACAGAAAGTTTCTCTCTATTAAGAAGTTGCTTAGTGCTGATTTTAAAATAAGGTAGTGCCTCCTGATCTTTATATTATCCACCCCAAGTTTCCCACCAATGGGAGGTAAGGCAAGCATCCACTGAGAGTCACAGCAGAGATTGTGAGCTCATAGTCACTATAGCCACAGTGAGCTGCAGAGGGTATGGGGTAGCATTGGGGCTGGGGGGTGGGGAGGATCTGTCCACCAAAGAAGAGACTTTGTCTAAGAACCATGTATTAAGATTCAAAGGGTCTTGGTGTAAACTTGAGTAGTTTATCATCATCCTTTCCAAAGTTATATGGAAATTCTTCAGAACATAAACTCTGCGTCTCGGCAGAGAAAGGCTCTTTAAAGAAACATGGTAAATTACTACAAAGTACTAGGGGTGCCTCAAAATGCTTCCCCCTCTGATATTAAGAAGGCTTATCACCAGTTGGCTCTTCAAGTACACCCAGACAAGAACCCAGAGAACAAGGAGGCAGCTGAGGAGAAATTCAAACAAGTAGCACAGGCCTATGAGGTCTTGTCTGATGCCAAAAAACGCAATGACTATGACAAGTCCAGAGGAAACTGCATCAAAATGGAAAACAGAGGAAATTGCAGAGACCAAAACCATTTGGAGGAGGAACTGTGCTTTGAGAGGCCACACCGTGTTTTCCAGAATGACTTTGAAGATGAATACGTCTCAGGAGATTATTTTTCTACCGGCCGTGTGGGTAGGGCCAGGAGATTCCATTCCTCCTTATTTGATGTGACCCCTATATTGGACACAGGATTTTCCACTTTTGTATCCTTGGGCTTCAAATCAAGTCCCTCTGTCTCTAAGACATTTGTACCCTTTGTAAGCAGTGGAATGAGAAACTTCAGACTGGTCACCACTTGTAGCCAGGTAGTGAATGGCAAGAGAGTTGTTACAAAGAAAGTGCTAGAAAATGTGAGGGGAAAAATTGAAGTGGAAAAGGAAAGACCATTTCATCTGATTCCTCCACCTCATTGGTAAGGAGTTACTGCTATGTTCTTTAACAGTGAGACTTTCATATTAAGGTGGTGTATCTTGAGGCTGATAACAGACAGAATTGAAATTGGCAGGGTGGAGAACTGAAGTGGACAGAAGTCAGCTTAGTCCCAACCTCTCATTTCATAGAGGACAGGACTCATGGACCAGATGTTGACACAAGAAACTAGAAGCCTCAGAGTTGAGCTTCCAGCCCGAGTCTTGTGACCGTAAATTGAGCCCTTTCCTCTACACACTTTGGAACAATAGAGACATGGATGAGGCCTTCTGAGCCAGTTGGAGGACTAATCATCATAAATACCATTGACTTCTTTTGGACTTTTCTCCTGCCCTACCTTGCTATCACCTAGTTGCCTCTTTCTTAATGGGTACTTTCTTTTCTGGCCTCTTTGCTTCTTCTCTTCCTTCCCCATCTTTTTTCCCATGCCTTTTTCATGGACCATATCACAGTCAGGCTCAATTTAAAGAGTTGCCCAGGTGTAGATTAATCCTACCAGAGAGGAGGAGTGAAAAAGTGGGTTAAGAGTTTTTATATGCTTTTTTTTTTTTTATAATAGCTAGCATTTATTGAGTGCTCTGTAGATGTCAGGAATTCTACTTCACACTGTGTTATCTCAGTAATCCTTTAGGCAGTGAAATACAGTAGCTACCTTCCCTGGTTACACAGATAAGGAAATGAGGTTTAGAGAGATTAAGCAACATGCCCTAGCTCCCTCCCTCCCCGCCCCCATAATAAGCAGTAAAACAGTGTCTGTCTTTAAAGTACATGCTTATCTAACTGAACTATAACATCTTTGAATCCTACTCATTTATTTTTAAATCTAGGGTCTTACCCTCATTGGAAATGTAAACCTATTATCTCTAAACTTTACTTCAATGCGTAAGCACTTGCTGGAACTTATTAAGTATGCAAGCACTTTGAATTATATTGCCTGACATGAACTCCAATGTTACTTTTACATGAAGACAAAATCACTTTAAGAAGTACCATAGAAGCTAATGAATGATTATCTGTTAAGACAGAAATCCCAAGATGTGAATGTGAGTTATATTTTTGTTTTGGCTTCAATAATGATATACCGGCAAAATCTTGGTGTTTTTGTTTTTGTTTTTTGTTTTGTTTAGCAGGAGGTGGTCATCCTCCAGCACCTTCATTCATATTAATTGACAGACTGAGTTCCAGAGGACTTGTTCCTTAGGGAAAGTTCTGGTGGATGCATTAGAACATCTGTCTTCTCCCTTCTAGGCCCAAGTTCATTCTAGTACACCATGCTGATTTGCAAATTTGGATTTCATGTGCATTGCAATCTTTTGCAAAAGCTATAACTAATTATTAGCTTTCTCAATCAAGGAACTTTCCTGTGTGTAATCTTTGTGGGAAAAATATTTGATTTATTCTTTGCACGTGTTAATCTCAGTGAATGTTCTGTACCTTAGCAGGAAAACGCCTGCATCTCTCTAGTGAAGGGTAGCACACTTGAAGAACAGAAGCTGAAAGTGGATTTGGAATCAGGCTGTAATCCATTTCTTTCAAAGATGGTGCATTTCTACTTTGTAGTCATTGAGAAGTTCCTATTCGCAGGCTCTGTGCTGTGTGCTTTCCATCAATCAATTTTAATCTCCACAGTCCTCTAGGGAATTATTTCTCCTTCAAAAATGAGGACACTGAGGCTCAGAGAAGTGATATCCCTTACCAAGGGCCACATAGTAAGTTGTGGAGACAGAATGTAGGCTGCAGTTTTCCTGACCTGAAGCTCACATTTCCATTATGCTGTATATTCCATCCTCATTTATCCAAGCTGCTGTAGTTAGGGTTTAAGAGGAAAGTTTCGTTGTATGTACAAATTAACTATATTTATTTCATCATTTTTCAAATGAAGACTTCCAGATGGTGCTTTCTTTCACCAGCCCTGGTCTGAGGTGAACTGTAGTGTGTCTACTGAACAAAGGGAAAATCAAATTGGAGCATGAAACATGATTTTCCATTTTGTCTTAAGTAAAATCCAGATTTCAGCAATTTTCACAGATACACTTGGCTTTTCAACAGAAATGCTGAGTTGTAGAACAACTTTTTAGCAGCAAAATTGTTTAAAAATTTACTTTCCGTTAGTCAAATAAGTTTTCTTGTTGGATAGAAATGAAAGGCATTTCTTCCTGATGCCTGTTTAAAATATGCAGTAAGTTAACTGCATAAGCAACAGCAAGACAAAGTAAAAATAAAAATAAGTGGAGAGCAGAAAGGAAGGGCCTTCTGCTGGGTAAAGCATTCCCAGTCAGTATTCATCCTAGTGCTCAAGGTAGAGCATGGGATTTTTTTTTTAGGTGTATTTATTTATTCCATGAGTAAAATAAAGAGAGAAAGAGAAACACAGACAGACACACAGATATACATACAGTAACGCCAACAGGTTCTTGATGCCGCAGTCCACCCCAGTGTCATCCAGTCCGAATCCTAGGCATATGTGCCTGGTGGGTTCCAAGAATTCTTCAAATGCAAACCGGTAACGCTCCCCTGTGGGTCTTCCTCTCAGAGCCTCGTGTTTTGTCACTGTACCTCCATCCAGCCCGGAGAGGCTGAACTGTGAAATCACCTCTAATTCAGAATCTGTAACCTGGCAGTGCTTTTAGCCTTTCTACTATGGTTTCCAGGTGTCAGAACTCTTCTGCCAACCCTCAGACTTGCAGGTTTCACTAACGGGCATCTTCAGGATTACTAGTTGCCTTTCTGGGGGGAAAAAACTTGAGGATTACAGAATCAGTTTTCATGTTCTTAAAGAATTTTCTGCTCTTATCCTATCAGTCACCTACTTTTTTATGTGTTACTGTTTCAGATACTTGTCTCTCACTAATTAATGTCACTTTATATCCTAGGCTGACAAAACAGATTTCCAAAACTCAAGAAATATCATAGACCCGTTAGAAGTGATTTCTTGTTCTGTTCTGGTTCGTTTTAGGTGGTTGACAAGTGAAATGAGGACTGTGGTCTTGTTAAGAATAGTGGCAGGGATAAGGGCAAGCATAGTTCAGGGAAGGTTGGCAAGAGCAATTCCTCCTGGAATCCTGTCAGAGGCCCCAGATCTCCACATAGCCAAGCAAGGAGACTTGCCTACAGTCACAAAGTGAGCATCTTTTTCGGCCCCCTGACCCAATGCTATTTCTCCCTTACACTCAGAATAATTCTCCTCATAGACAGCCAGTGTAGGGAGGACTCAGAGTTCTCTCCAGAGTTGCATTGCACACTGTCCTCTTGTCTGTTTGTCTATCAAGGGAGAAAGTGAGTACACAATTTTGTAGGGAACGTGGAGAACAGG